CTATACAGCAATTCTAGGCAGAGATGCCAGCGAGTTCTCTGGGTCCGAACTCATCTCATATGCTCCAAAAGACAGTGGAAATGTGTGCTGTGGTCAGATGAATCCATATTTCAGCTTGTTTTGGGGGAAAACAAACATCAAATTTTCAGTGGCAAAGACAAAAGGGACCATCCAGACCATCAGCAACAGGTGCAAAAGCAAACGTCTGTCATGGTATGGGGGTATATCAGTGCAACTGGCATGGGTGACTTGCATATGTGTGAAGGTATCATTGAGGTGGAGGCGTATATTGGGATTGTACAGAGACATATACTGCCATAAAGATGATGTCTTTCATGGGAAGTCCATGGTTATTAGATCAAGACAATGCCAGGTCTCATTCTGGATGTGCTGTGGATGTGACTGACAGGCCAGCAGATCTGTCTCCTATTGAAAATGTATGGCCCATCATGAAAAGAAGAATCAGACAACGAAGACTATGGACTGATAAGCAGCTGAAGTCTTGTATCAAGCGAGATTGGGGAAACATTTTGCTTTGTTGATGTGGCACAGTGGTAAACATGCCTCTGTCCCAACTTTTTTGGAGTGTGTTGCAGCTATCAAAATCTAAATTTGTTCATATTTACAAAACACAATTAAGTTGGCCAGTGAAATCATTGGAAATCTGTTCTTTGTACTTTTGTCAATTAAATAAAGGTAATGATTTAAATAAAGAGAATGAACAAATCACATATTCTTGATTTTATGGCATTTTGCAAAACGTCCCAACTTTTTTGGAATTGGGGTTGTATATTGATGGTGCTGGAAGTGATTTTAACCATTTCTTCAAAACCCAGCCCTCCCAAACCCAAACACGCACAATGATTGACAGGCAGAGAGTGTTTCTGATTGGCTAAAAAATGAGCAAGCCTCTTTTGTGCACCATTACATTTGCAGCACCATTAAACCTAGGTTATTTTTATGTTTTTTCATCCCTAACCCATCTATCTCTAATACACCACATGCATGTTAGTAATGGTAAAAGCGGTGATGTATTTCCATTGAATGTTTCTTTCTGTAAACTGGACTGTGGGTCCGTCTGACTGACAGTCTGAATTGTCTGCACACACACCTGTCAGACGCTGATGGATCAGCACTTTGTCAGCCAGAATTACCTTTTATCATGACAGCTGGCGTCTCTTCCGAGCACAGGAGATAATGATGTGTGAGATACCGATCAATCCAGACCCGCCGCAGGCCTGATCCTCTAACAATGACCCCAGTGTGGGCAGATGGAAGTATCACCAAAATATTACATCATGGTACCGGTATACATCACAAATGATTTGTATCTCTGGAAATTCACTAAAGATACAAATCAAAAATCATTTGAGGTTCCGTTATAGTGACACAAAACTTTATAACACTTAAAAACCTATTTATTTTCATTTGTAAGGTTTGTGGAGTCTAAAATCAAGGTGTAATTTCTCAAGACCTGGAGAGTCTGGAGATATGAAAGAGAAATCGTTTGTTTTTTTGGAGAAACCATTGTGTAGGGATTGTGTTTATTCTTGCTTTTCCCAAAGACGATTAGCTTTGGGAAGCGATAGTAGTTCTGCTCCCTCCCACCGTTGGAGGAAGCACATCATGCAGTCATTAAGTCTGTGACATAAATGGAGAAATGTATGCTGTGAACAGTGTTTGCTTATTTGCAATAAATTATAATAAATGTTCATTTTGACTCGGCAGACACCACTGTTCTCTTCCTAGAGAGCTACCTTTTATGTGCCTACATAGATGACTGCCTTACCTGACTGCATCCTAACTGGAGTGGAATCGCACAGTGACTGATTTGAATAAAGAAATTTCAGATGTTGCACAAATAACACTGAGAAACTCGTATCACTGTTGATTGCAATAGACACAGCAGTGACTGCCCAGTTTTCCTTTTTTTTTTTTTAATACAGACCTGGTAAATCACATTCTTCAACTGATTTATTTCGTATTTATCATTTGTATATCATTTAAAGGGTTGGGGTCAGTAAGATTTATTTTTCTAGGTTTTGGAAACAAAACTGTTGTGAAGTAGTTATATTTTTGCATTATTTATATACTATTATAGCATTTATTAATATTTTGAATTAGCATTTCGTTTTTTTATTTTTCATTTTCAGTTTTAATTTTAGTTTTGGTAATTAAACTAATACTATAATATAATATAATTACACTCATACTATTTATTAATATTTAAAATGAGCTTTTATTTTTATATTATCAGTTTTCATTTTAATGTCTTTAAAATGTAGAAATTTTGCTATGTGCTTTTCTCATTTTTTTATATTTCTATAAAGATTTCATTTATTTTAATTTCAGTTTTAGTTTTAGTCATTTTAGTACTTCAAATATTTATTTTATATTATTATATTATATTATATTATTACCTGCAGGGTAAACAGCCTGGCCACCCACCCTCTTCATCAAATGATATTAATTAGATCTAGTGAGTGGGTGGAATGAGTGGTTGGTCAATTGGTCTTATGATATAATGTTATTAGTGGTGTTTGTGAAGCCACACTTCCTTTTCCCCCCATTATAATTTTTGAAATGGAAACTAATGATACTTCAAATTGTGTTGAAGAGAGGTGTGCTGTTACTTTTGTTGATAATCAGACTTACATATTTTATCTGACAGATGACAAAACTGGTAAAAAAAAAAAAACCGAGGTCCAGAATATCTTTGACTTGGGTCAGTAAGTAACCACCAACATTGCCGCAATCACCAAACGCATATCAATAGACTGGCATCAGAAAATGTAAAAATCTTGTTGAATAATTTTTTTGTACTGTGCTGTACAAAACTCTATTTTCCCTGCTCTTGTTTAACACGGCGAGGCCCAATGGGCCGTGTTTGCAGCAAAAACCTTCTGAGATGGATTATTATTGGGCCTCATTACAGGAGTGACTATTTATCATGCAGGAGATGCTGATTGTGGGGAATGTGAGATGGAAACTCGGTTATGGTGTCACAGCTAATGTAATACAGTGAAAATTAATGGTAATAAAGCCGCATTTCCTAATGTGGCTGTGAGATTGAGCCCCTGAAGCACAATCACAGTCCTTGTTGTCTTTACAGATCTCTATTTGTCATGCTTTGCTGTCTGCACTCGCTGGATTCTCGGTTTAAGCTGCTTTTGTTAAACCACTGGTTCTTGAGACTGTACAATATGCTATTTGCTTGCATTTAATTTATTATTAACACAGTAAAACTGGTAATTAGTCACAACTGTTATAAAAAGGACTAAAAAAGCTTTTGGAGGTTAAATGAATTTAATGACCCTTCAATTGCTGTAACTAAGTTTTTTTTTCTTCTTCTTTCTTTTTTTCCCTCAAATGTGGTTACCATGATAAAATAAAGGGAATCATGGTAGAAAAGAAAAAAAAACTGATTTATTCAGAAACACTAACAGACATACCTATTTTTACTGATACATGCAGTTCTTAGCTATTTTCTTAAAGAAAGTTAAATAAAGTTATTATTCAAGCTAACAAATGACTACAGAATAACATGTTGAAAAGATAATTCTCTGATGCATAACCTTTTATTTTTCAGCTCTGTATCATATTTTCTTTTTTTCCTTTTTGTAATAGGACATATTTCCTATTTTGTCTGATGTTTAGCATTTATTCATACTCTTTTTAGTATGTTTGACATGATCCCAAAATTAGAGACCACAAGGTTCTTGTTGATTCTTCTGTCCCCGTTCTCTGTTTAGAGTTTGGTGCTGCCAGTAGAACAAAGCAGCAGGTACTGAGCGGTGATTAACTCATTTTGACTGGCTAATTGCTTCACAGCCAAATAGTTAATTAGGCCAACACTCAGATTATCACCTTAAGGATCAGTCAGGTACAAAAGTGAACCTATTCAAATTTCAAAATGTGTAAACCTGACACCGTGGCTCTGTTCCAACCCTTAGTGGGCTGCCTGCTGTCTGCAAAGACAGCTGCCTTCTAAGGCAGCATCCAAACTGGGTTTGGTAATGTTGCACATAGGCAGCAACTCACAAATAGCACTTCACTAAAGAGTTTGGCGTTAACATGCTGCAGTTTAATTGGCTTCAAAAGTATAGCAGACACAAATATTGTGTAAAAAAGTCAATTTTAATTAGATTTGATGTTTAGGTTTTCTAATTTAAAAAAATTATTGTTTGTTTTTAATTAAAAAAATCTATAATCTAAATCTATCTGTTTAATTGGCTAATTTGGGGGTCCATGGAAGCTTGTTTCTAACAGGGAATAAAAAAAAACGTTTCACTTTTTTTTCTTTCTTTTTTTTTTTTTTAGAATTGTGAGTTTAAATCTCACAAGAAAAAAGTCAGACTTAAGAGATATAAACTTAGAATTGTGAGGAAAAAAAGTCAGAATTACAAGATAAAAACTAAAGTCATAATTACCTTTTTTCTTTTTTTCCTTTTTTTTTTGGTTGTGCCACAGAGTTCCACAGAGGTCAGTAAAAGTTGTTTTAAAGAAATTAATACTTTTATTCAGCAAGGATGCATTAAGTTGTTCAAAAGTGACTGTGAAGTAATTTATATTGTTGCAAAAATTCTATTTCAAATAAATGTTGTTGTTTTTCCCCCCCTTTACATTCATCAAAGTTTTTAACAACAACAACAATAATAAATGTTTCTTGAGCACTAAATCAGCATGTTAGAATGATTTCTGAAGGATCATGTGACACTGAAGACTGGAGTTACATTTTAAAATATATTCAAATACAGAACACTTATTTTAAACGGAAATAATATTTAAATATTTAAAAACGGAATAAATATATAATGTTTTTACTGTATTTTTGATTCATTAAATGCAGCCTTGGTGAGCATGAAAGACTTCTTTCAGTATCATGGTTACTAAAAATCAATCAATGCATCACTGTGCATTATATCATTATCTTCTGAAGGTATCTTATTAGGCAGCATCATTTCCTCTTAGAATTTGCACTAACTTGTGTGTTTTTCCAGGTCCATGGGGCAGATGTATGGGCAGCGAGTGCGGTCCAGGAGGCAGTCAGAGTCGGGCGGTGTGGTGCGCTCATGTGGAAGGCTGGACGACCCTTCACACCAACTGTCTTCAGTCCACGAGGCCGGCCAACCAACAGAGCTGCTTCCGCGTCTGCGACTGGCACAAGGACCTATACGACTGGCGGCTAGGCGAGTGGAACCAGTGTGTTCCCATATCGCTGCAGACCGGCCGCACGGGCGTTTGCCTGCAGGGCGAAGAGGGCATCCAGACACGGGAGGTGAACTGTGTGCTCAAGGCGGACAGCTCAGCTGCCGACGACGCCATCTGTGAGTACTTTGAGCCCAAACCCCGGCAGGAACAGGCCTGTTTAATTCCTTGCCCTCAAGACTGTGTGGTGACCGAGTTCACCCCGTGGACCACATGCTCCAAGACCTGCGGGCTGGGCCTGCAGAACCGCGTCCGCTCCATCGTGGCACCGCCGCTTTTCGGCGGGCTTCCTTGCACCAATCTGACGGAGTTCCAGACGTGTGCGCCGAGGGCCTGCGAGGGCAGAGAGACGGTGTTCAGTCTGAAAGTGGGCGGATGGAGCGAGTGCAAGCTGCCATCTTTACCGCCCCCTCCGACCTCCTCTGCCGCCCCCTTGCGCACCGCCCGCCAGGCCCGCCGGCGGAACGGCAAAGAGAGGAAAGGGAACCGGGACCCGGAGATGCGCGAGCTTATTAAGAGCAAAAGGAACCGCAACAAGCTGAATCGACTAGAGGACGAGCTCTGGAACATGGAAATAGGCTACCAGTCTCGGCAAGTGGTTTGTGTGCATCGAAACGGAAGCACGGTGTCACTCAGGTTGGTGACTTTTCCCATTAGAACCATAATAATTTGACATAAATAAAAATGAGGTTGTGAGGGGTGGAAGAATAGTCTGTTCAGTGTACTGTATTGTAAATAATTTTCACAAACTTTTGTTTCTGGATTTTTGTAAACAGTGTTAAACAGTGAATGCAGTTAACATCACAGCTTTGTTCAAAAATACATTACAGTGCGATTTGTACAGTGACTTGAATGCATGTTTTTTTATGCATGTTTATATTTTCTGATATTCATTTTATATTTTGGTGTGCCATCCCCCCCCCCCCAAAAAAAACAACTTATATTTAATAATAATAATTATAAATAATAATAATTATTTAATGAAATAGTTAATTAACATTAATATTATTTTATTTAAATATACTTGAAAAATGTAATTTGTACACTGACTTAGATACACATTTTGATATTTCGGTCCCACTTTATATTAAGTGGCCTTAACTACTATGTACTTACATTTAAATTAATCATTTGTTACAATGCACTTATTGTGTACATACATGTTTTTACATTGTACTTATATCTTTGAAAAAATACCTGCATGTAATTACATCTGTAATTAATTTCTGTAATTACATTTATAAGTACACTGTTGACCCATCCTTTACACCTTAACCCATCCTAAAACCTACCCATACCACCAAACATATCCCTAACCTTACCCGTATCCCACCTCAATAGCAGCAAAAGTGTTTTTCACTACAATATGAACACAAACCTAACCTTACCCGTATCCCACCTCAATAGCAGCAAAAATGTTTTGCAATACAATATGAACACAATAAGTACATTGTACTTATTTTTTAATGTAAGTACATAGTAGTTAAGGCCACTTAATATAAAGTGAGACCGATATTTATTTTGAGTAGTATAGGTTGTAAAATGTTTCATGGTGCAACTCCCCAAAAAGTTAATAATTTTATAATTTAATAAATACCATTAAGTTAATATTAATATTTATTAATTTTAATAATAATAATAAATATTAATTAATCGTGTGGGTGTGACTCACCCAAAAACTAAAAGATATTTATGAATTAATATATATCATTACATTATTATAATGAATATTAATAATAATTAACATTCATATTATTTATTAAAAAATACATTAAAAAAATCTATTTGTGCAATGAGTTTGATACACCTTTTCTGTGACGACCATGTTTATAATTTCTGAATTATTAATATTCATTTAAATATTTTCTATAAAGTTGTAAAATGTGATGTGGTGCAACTCCCCAAAAACTCAATGATACTTATGAATTAGGAAATATCATTAAGTTGATATAAATTCATATTAATTAATTATTAATCGTTATTAATTATTATTATTAATTGCAACTCCCCAGATCCTTTTTTTCCCCACTTTTTAAAAAATTTTTTAATTCTTTAAAACATTTATTTTTGGAAATAATAATTAATTGATGATTATTTGATGTGCACATTATGTTTGTGTAAAAAAAAAAAAAAAGAATCTATTACGCATTACTTTCTCTTGAGCCGCATCTGTTTTGTTATAGCACTAATGGCTCTCAGGCTAATAGCAGTTAAATGAGTCTTAAAACTAGGGATTCCGGCATATTTCTGCACTCCGTCAGCCGCTGACAGTCAGAGGATGATGGCTGCGTGACTCGTCTGGGTCTCCACTGTGCTGTCAAAGCACTCCCACGCTTGAAGTCTATTTTCAACTGTAGAATGACAACTGTATATTCCCCAGCAGCAGATTGTGTGAGTACAGCAGAGTGTGAGCAGAGTATGCCTGCACTTTCCACCGAGTATTAAATGTTCAAGAGTTTTGTAGTTATTTAAAAAGTTTTAGTTTGTGTATCTCAGGCGTACAGTGTTTGGCCTTTGATATTCGTTCAAGCTCAGGAACATGGGAAAAGTTGAAAGGAAAACATTCCGAGTGTTTCAGCCAGAGGAATCTGCAGGTAATATTAAGTTTATGGAAACAGTTGAATAGCCAACATCAAGGTTAAAGCAATCCAGCAAAGTCACATACTGTATAATATACAAAGTCACATATACACCGTTCAAAAGTTTGGGATCATTTTTAAAACATTTTAAAGTCATTTATGCTCATCAAGGCTGCATTCATTTTAGTAAAAATTTTAAATATTATTATAATTTATAATAGCTGTTTTCTATTTGAAAATATTCTAAAATATAATTTATTCCTGTGATCAAAGCTGAATATTCAGCATCAGTCTTCAGTGTCACATGATCCTTAAGAAAACATTCTGATATTCTGATTTGCTGCTCAAGAAACATTTTATTTTATTATCAATGTTGAAAACAGTTGTTTTGCTTGCTTTTTTTGTGGAAACCATGATACGTTATTTATTTATTTTTGATTCTTTGACGAATAGAAAGTTCAAAAGAACAGCGTTTATTTGAAATCTTTTGTAAAATTATAAATGTCACTTTTTTACAATTCAATGCATCCTTGCTAAATAAAATTATATATATATATTTTTTTTAAAGTGCTTACCCCAAACTTTTGAACAGTAATATATATATTTAAATGGATTCACAAAAACAACCGTCATACCTCCAGGAGAATAAATATTCATCTTTGACTTGTTTCTCTTTGCTCCTGAAATATTCATAGCTGTTTTGCTTCTTCAAGAAAGTGGAAAAAAGTTTTTCTGAAGCACTTTCTCTGTGATCAGCCAGTAGACCATCACAAACAAACCATTCACACCATTCTTATTCTGTTTCATTACTATGCTTTTGTCAGTATAGTAAACCCAACAGTTCTTAGTGTAATATTTTGCCAGACATCTCATCTGTTGTACTAGTTCTTTGTGTTTGTGGCTTTACACATGCACTCGAAAACCAAAGTCTGTAAATCATATACCTTTGCTCAGCGTTATGCATACAATAGCATTGTTTAATTGAGTATTTCCTGCTAATTTTATTTAGGATTTGATGAACGTCTTCATAATGCTCCTGCTGCTGCAGAGGTTCTCCTGAATTCCCACAATTGAGTTATTCTTACATTAAAGGAGAAACATCATTCTCATTTAAATGGAAATGATGGTGTCCTCATTCCATCAACAAGCTGTAAACAACAGCTCAAAAATGTGCGCCCCAGTGCATAAAAACAATGCATGTTAGTAATATTGGGAAATTCGTGATACAGCAAAGCGCATTTCAGTAGAACAACACCGTTTGAAACCAATTTGACACTCAGGAAAAGTCAAATCCCACCCTAAACTTTTTTTTATTGTTGAATATCCTGGTATAAACATTACATTATGGAAACCTTTTTCATGTTTCACTTAAACTTATTTAGCAAACATTGAGAGTTGATAAGTTTGATTTATTTCCATTAATCAGTTCCATTTGTCCAAAAGTTAATGATATTTATAATTTGATAAATACTATAAAGTTAATGTTAATATTAATATTTATTTATATAATTAATATGCATTAATTTATTACAAATCATTAAAAATCACTGTTATGAATTATTAATATTAACCATAATTAATTCTCAAAAAACTAATCCGTTAAAAAAATCTATAAAAAATTATCATATTGGAAGTCTCTGTTTTTCTTATATTACAATCAAAGTTTTAACATATAAATATATTTTAAATATGTTTTAAAAACATTATCGTTTTTAAAATATAACAAATATTACATATTTTTTAAATATTGTATATAAATATTTTTTAATATTTAAAAAATATATTTAGATAATTATTGCCATTGGTTTCAGGCATGCATAGCTACACTAATGAATATAAATTAAAATTATTAACTACACTGAGAAAAAAAAACTGTCAATGGGTTGATATCCTTTCAGAAGGTACTAATTTACACTTTTAAGGTGACCGTTTTGTAGCTTCTTTTTATCTTTCTTCCTAGTGTTGGTTAATTAATTACATTTTGCCCAGCCCTAGTCACAATTTTGATAGTAGCCCTATTTGTTTTATAGCACACAATCGCAATTCCAGCAACAGACTGGCATACTCTCCATTTCTGCCAAATACAGTTTACCAACGGCTACTATCGCTTTTATACCTCAGGAAGAGTTATTGTGCTGCAATATGGTGTCATTATTTTGCCAGATTTTTAAATGGTTTCAAGACATCTTAATCTGGGTTTAAAGTGGGTGGAAAACAGTGCCAGTTTTGAAGTTTATGTGTTTAAGAGTCTGTGCTGCCCTGAGGTGAGTTTGGCAGCCACGGCACCTAAATGAGCGTTTGCTAAATTAAGCTACGCTGGAAAGGAAGCAGCCTGTAATTAGCAGTAATAGCTCGTCAGCTGCATTGCCTACAGAGAAAATAAGACACCAAGAGAAATTGCTGCATTCACACTGCCCAGCGTTAATTTACCAGCCTCTGAAACAATTCTACAAAAAAGAAAATATTGCAGTGATACTGTGGTAAAGTGATGGTATCAGGGGTTCACCTCTTTTATTTGTTAGTTGAACCCCTGAACTATTTTATTTTATAAATAATTCTAATTTTATTTTATTAATTATATTTAATATTATACTTAATTACGTTATATTGTATTTTAATTCTATTTTTTGTTTTATCTTATTTTAATTTGTTTTAAATAAAATTGACATTTGCCCAGAAATTTCAAGCAATGCTCTAATGCTGAAAATGCTGAAAATAAAAATAAGTATTGATCATATTTATTTAATTAATAATATGATTTGTTTTTTTAATGTCTGTAGTTTTTATCAAATTTTAGTTTTTTATTTTATTTAGTTTTAGTTATTTTAGTATTTCAACTTAAACTAAACAAAAACTTTTTCGATATATGTTCGTGTTATTTTATTTCAGTAAATTTTTTGTCTTGTTTCAAGTAATGAGAATATTTTTAATGATTTTAGTTAATAATAACCCTGGTGTAAAGAAGGTTTTTTTTCTACCATTGAAATATGTTCTTGATTACTGTAAAAGAATTATCTTGTCATGTTGACTGACCAGTACTTCTACTCATCTGTCCTGTATCAGCCAGTGTCCCCACTGGAGTCTTCCGGAGACGTTCCAGTCCTGCCTGATGACTAAAGACTGTGTGGTCAGTGAATGGAGCGTGTGGGGCTCCTGCTCAAAGACCTGCTCAGACCCTAGTGTTCCTCAGGGCACACACTCCCGCAGCAGACAGCTGATACGGCTTCCTACCGGAGGAGGGTCTGAGTGTCCCCAGCTGGAGGAAAGCCAGGCCTGTGAACCTGAAGGGGACGAGGTGCCGCCCTGCGCCACGTAAGTACCATGAATTGCTTTATTCTCACTACATTTTACATTTGTTGATAATGTACATGTTTTAAAGGGCTCATTGGATGCTACATGCACTTTTACAAGTTGTTCGAACTGAAATGTGTGTTGGCAGTGTGTGTACACAACCACCCTATAATCTACTAAAATCTTTCCCCCTTTCTCAAATCGAGCCGATCTCAGATGCCCTCCCACGATAGTTTGATTGACAGTAGCGTTTCAGCACAGACTGGACTGGCGTCTTACCTTAGACCTGCCCTGAGTGAGCTGTCATCAGTCCGCCATTGTTTCACTGCTGGAGCAGTTGTAGACAAGAATGACTCCTAAGCGATTGAGGTGTTCTGTTGTTGGATGTAATAATGAACATAG